AATAGCGGATAGGTTTACTAATATAGAAAGAGAAGTAAGAAAGTAATTACTAAGAAACTATATTAGAAAGAATAGAAAAAACTCGATTATTTATTTTAAATTAAAAGCTACTTATTAAAAAATATCTATTAGAATTTATATAGAGAATTTAATAAAAGAAATAGAAGAAAACTTACTACTAACTTCTTTAGAAAATTAAATAGTTCTTTACTTAGCTCTCTAATTCTTTATATTATTAAATACCTACTTATAAAGAACTAGTTATAAAATTATAGTTTATAATTTTATAAGACTAGATCCGGCTATATTTTAATTCATAAGACCTTAAAAAGCTCCAGGTAGCCTATTACCGGTATAAGAAGCTATAGCCTAGATAGCGGCCTAAATAACTCTTATATTTATAGCCCGTTAAGCTTATATAATAATATAAGTATTATTAGAAAAGTAGTTAGGTTAAGTAATATGGCTTATAGTAAAAGGAAATATAGAAAGAAGTAATTATAGGGCTATTAAAGTAAAAGAAGTTTAGAATAAAGTAAAACTAGTACCTAGTAGCTATATAATAATAGTAACTAGAGAAATAGATATAATAGATATTTCTAAAAGAAAAAATACAGGATAAAAATACTAAAAAAAGCTAGAGATTTAAAGTATTTTAGGTATAAAAAAGGAAATAAATATAAACGGAATTCTAGAGCTATAAAATTCAAGTTTACTAGTATTATTACTTTAGGCAAGTAAAGTAGTAGCCTTTATATTATATTTATTATTAGTAGATTAATAAAACTTATAATATTAGATATTATTATATTAGTATTTAGTTATAAGATATATAATATTAAAGCAGGTTTTAAGAAATAATAGTATTATTTTAAGAGATAAGAATTTAAGAATATAGAATATTTATATAGTAAATAAACTTAATAATTTTATTAGTATTATTCTTAAAAATAAGAAAAGAATTTCAAAAATAATATATTTAATAATAAATAATACTTATCTTAATATATCTAGTTATTTTACAACTGGCTCGTTTAATTACCCTATATTATTAGAAGTATTACTAATAAAGGGCTATTTCTAGATAAAGTTCTGAATTATTAGGAATTATACGAGTATTTTTCTAGCTTATATATTATTTATATATTCTATATTTATTAGAATAATTTATTTAAGAATTCTATTTCATATAATAGTAATATTATATTTACTAGTTAGCTTCTCGAACTCTCCTAATATTAGTAGCTGCCCTGAGGCTATATATATCCGGACTATATATTAGAGCTAGTAATAAGCTTAAATATATAATTAGTTATTATTTCTATTAGTATCTCCTATATAAATATTAGCTATATTTATATTATAAAATATAAGCTTCTAATAATATTACTCTAGTATTTCTCTTAATAGAAACTTATTAATATCTATATTAGTATATAAGTAAATTATTTATATAAAGCTATATAAGGTTATATTACTTACCCTAAACTAAATAATTATTAAGGATTATATTATAAAGCTTTATATCTATAGGACGACCCTAGTACTATATCCTGCCTAGGGGCCTTATATATAGTCTAAATAGCTTACCGGCTACTATATTAGGTCTAGATCTGTCTTTTCTAATCTTATAAATATTTTATAAGTTTATAAACCTATATATCTTATTTTAAATTTACTATATATAAAGTACTAGTAAAGTAATCTGGTTTTATAGGTATTAGTAATTATAATTCCCGGTATAAGCTAGTTCCTAAAAGTAGTTCTATATATACTAATCGGAATTAGTTATATAATCCGGTACTATAATACTAGACCTAATAGCCTTAATAAAAAGTAGTATAATTATTAGTACCTAATACTTTCTCCTAATAATAGAAAGAATAAGAAGCAGATATAAGAAAACGGAATTACTTATATATTACTAGTATAGCTAGCTTTTCTAAAGCTCTTATTACCAGGATTTAACCCGTTAATTCTCGGTACTTTTCCCAGAAATAAAGTAGTTTTCTATATATATAACTAATAAATTAGCTATCTACAAGAATATAAAGTATATTTTAGTAATAAGAAAGAATTTAGAGCCTTAATTAGCCCTAAGAAAGTAAAGGCAGTAGCCTATTTAAGTATAAATCTAAAGATACTACTATATAATTAAATAAGTAATCTAATTAGAGATTTTAATATATATCTAGATAATATTATATAAATAAATATTAATATAAGTATATATCTTAATCCCAAATAGTAATAGCTTATTATATTTATTAATTAACTAAATCTAGTCCGGCCCAGATATAATATATTTTCTCTTTTTAAACTATATCTATTATATTTATAGTATAATTACCTCGGGATCTAGAAGTTATAATATTATATATAAGCTCTCCCTATAAATAATAAAATATATTAGTAAATAAGGCCCTAATTTTCCAAGCTAGGATAAAATAGTAAAGTATAAAAAGACTAACCGGGTTACTAATAAACCTTATTAATAGAAGTATATATATAAATACTATTATCTATAACTTATAACCTGCCTATTATTTAGCTTACTCTATAATATTATAAATAGTTACTTATTCGCTGCTTACCTATCTATTATAGTTATATAGTAAATAAGACCAAGCTTCTTATATATATAAATAACTTTAGTAATTAAAGCTATATAACTATAATTCTCAAGATCCTTAAGTATTTCCTTATTTATATCTCTCAGATAATATAGGATTATAATCTATATATAAAGAAAAGATATATCTACTATTTAAATATATATTTAGATATTCTATTCTTATAGTTACTATTAGATCATATATAAATTAACTGAGATTTTATATAAATCTTTTAATCTATTTATAATTTCTTCTTAATTAATATTTATATAAGCCCATTTAGTAATAGCTTTATAATATAGTAATAGATTTATTAAAAGTCATAATATTATTTTAATAAAATCTACTAAGTTATTTTAATAGGGATTAAGTTCAGGGCATACTTTACTATTATAATATACTTTTTAGTAATATAAGTACTAAAAAACTCGAGTAATATTACCCCTATATAATTTTATTAATTAATTACTAAAAAAAAGTAATTAGCCGGCTTCTTAGTTATTTTAATAATTTAATTTTCTTATTTCTAATCTCGGAAACATTAAGGAAGTTATTAGACCCTGTTAATAGCATTATCCTAGAAGGGCTTATAGCCTATAATTACCTGACTATAGTAATTTGTAATAAATACTTAATTTTATATTATATTACCTGGCCTAATTTTGGCATAATTTCATACGGTAATATAGGCTCTCACTTCGTTAATTAGACAAGCAAGCAGCCTTACTATTATTGCGTTATCTAAGCCGAAAGTCACGTATGGGTGCTATACCCCTAATTAGGAATTCTGCCTTGGGGAGGAGAGGGGGGGGGGGTGTGCGGGGCGCTAGTGCGAAAATCAGAAAATCAGAAAATCACTTTTCGCTTCTCGGATTTGTCCGCTAGCTAGCTGTGGGCCTCAGTACCTTCGCTTCGCCTTGAAGCACAAGAAGCCGGTGGTTGAGGAATCGCCGCCCAATGCCGAATATCCCATGGAGATGATCAGTATAGAGAGAGACATATCGGGTGAGCGGAGGCGAAGGTCGAAAGGACATGGCCATCGACACCTTCACCTATATATATCGAGGCAGGGGATAGCGAAGGAGAAATTTCTTTTTGCACATGGTTGAGCCTTCTCCAGGAGACAAAAAGCCGACCAAGGCTACCTATTTTCGTACCCACGCTTGCACCCAGTCCGACAGTAATTTTGCTACGGGATCTGCGCTGCTTGCTGGTATCGGCGTTGAGCACAGCTTTTACCTTCTTCTACCGTTGTGACGAACCCAGTCAGCTGACCTCCTAATAGTTAGCCTTACCTGTAGCGCATACAGGTGTAGCGGCTAAGCAGGGTAGAAAGTGGTGGTTCTATTAAGGATCTAAGGCTGAGGAGAAAAGGAGAAGAAGGAGAGCTGAAGCTCCGGACGAGGGGATATAGCTACAGGCTAGTTTCAGGTTAGGTTTCAAGCTATACCCGCTATCTATCTGAAGAATAGGTTAATAGTCTAGAGGAGTAAGCATTTCTAGCAGAAGAGAGAAGGCAAGCCAGGAACATACCTGACCCATGTTTTCAATCAGTAACTTGTTGTACGCAAGACGAGGAGAGTTCATGGTCTCGACTTGTCTGCGATATGTTGGTTGAATGGTCGAAGATCTCGGGCTGGTATGATGGGGGAAAATGTAAAACGACCCCCCCCCAGGGTGTCGATTGGGGGCCGAACTAACCTAAAGTAGAGGCGCTCGGACAGGAACACCAAAACTTTGGCTATTTCTATAATTTAATTCAATTTTATAAGGAATTAATATAATTTAATACTTGTTTTATTTTATTATAGCACTAATTAAGCGCTATTTAAATATAAGCTTTCTATAGACTTTGGATTAGTAATAGCTCTTTTAATTAAAGAAGTCAAAAATTTTATATTTTATAGCCTAAAGATAAGCTTAAGAAAGTCTAGAAATTTAGCAAATAAGTCCCTAAAACCAAATATAAGAGCCCTATAAGCCCCTATTTTATAGGGCCTTATAGGGTTCAAAAACTAGAACCTAATTAATTAGTATATAAACTCCCTTAAATTAAAATTCTATTTTAAGGAATCTTTTTATTATAAGTTAGAAAGTATATAATTATAATACTGGGATTATAATATACTAGCTTATACTTATATTAAAAAATATAATCTAAGATTTTTGAAGAGCTTAGGTAGCCAATTACAAGTTTATTGACACCCCTATTCCAATCGACACCCCTCATCGATACCCGGGGGGGGGGTCGTTTTACATTTTCCCGTATGATGGGCTGAAGAATTTAGGATGACTCATAAGCCACAAACCTGTCGCCCGCAAACCCGTCGCCTGCAAACCCGTCGCCTGCAAAGTTGTGGCCTGCCAGCCTTTCCGCCCGGGATCCAGACACGGAGGGGCTTAGGATGACGTGGTGTTCAGAGCGGTCAATGTAGTTCAGATACTGTACAGAGAGACAGTAGAGTATTTCCTCTTCCGATGTACAAAATGGACGGCGCACCGGACAGAGATGCTCCAATGCACAGACACACATAGAAGTAATATTTCCTTCTATTTGGGAGGGAAATCAACTTCAGATGACAAATGCTGGACTCCGAACATGAAGGCCGTTTGAGCAACAATACAGTTCGCAATAGCTACCGTCCGACTTGACGCAAACCAACTGCAGATAAACCAGAGCACCTAACTCGCAACACCCGACCCAACACACCCATCACCTCGTGCCACAGACAGCAGGCACCGCTTCAGTTGCCGAAGATAGGATGCTGAACACTTGGAGAACCGCCTTCAAGTTAGCCTACTTGGGAGGGGAGCCCATAAGCCCGGGTGGTGTTTGTACCTTTGTTGCCGATTATTTTCTTCTTCTTTTGATTTGGCGTTATTATGGGGGATTTCTGCTTCAGTGGGATGAAGTGCAAATGGGCGCAAGCCTGGTGGATGTCTGAATATCTCTTTTGTACTCCATACAGCACTCTCAGCGTTTTTTTAATTTATCTTTCGTCATTCTTGTCGCCCCGAGCCTGGCCATGGTGATCATGAAAAGAACTGCCGGTTCCCCCCTGTTCTAATTGATGCAGCCAACGGATGGGCACACTTCAGTCTGCCTCGCTAGCAAACTCATTGCAGGCAAGTGCATTGTTCTGCAAGTCGACCATTTCACTGTCCACGTGGCACCAATGAAAATTCTGCTGCATGAGGCTGATAGCACGGTACAGCATCCGCAAGCCACTGCAACGAGTTTTATGCAGCCATTGGTATGGATCCAGGATGGTTGAGCATTTTTGGGGGCTTCTTGCACGACCTCAACTGCATTCGTCGAAGACCGAGTGGTCGCGACCAGTAGAATGACAGGAAGTGGACCAATGGTACAATGGGCAAGCCAGAAGGCCGATTCACTTTCAGATGTGGTCGTCTTTCCCTCCTCCAAATTCCTTTTATACTTCCACATATGTTCTTGGGAAAATCTGATGGTACCCAGCGGATTACTTCCTGAAAAGTATATTCTCTTCGAGCAAAACCGGTCGGCGGTCACAGCGTGAAGCTATTTATACTTCCAAGTATCAAGAGATTGCTTAACCTACGAGACGTTCACGACCAAGGAAGATGGCTGTCCCTCGCGAGCCCTTGCACTGCTCTTGGCCCCTCAAATTCTTCGAGACACGTCCAAACTCCGACCGCGCTCTCGAAAACCAACCTTATATCGACTGGGTAAAAGAATGTGTGAGTGATTCATGGGGTGCTGGAGATGATTCTCATGATGAAGACGATTCCGAGTGGACGAGTGACGAGGATGGAGAGAGTGAATGGAGTAAAGCCTCTGAACTTTCAAGTGGTGCAGAAGATCATACCGCCGAAGAGCCTTCTCTAGATCTAGAAGACTCCGAATCGGTGGTATGTTATGACCAGAAAAGTACTGTTAGACTTTTCAAGGAAGGCGAGGGTGAAGAATTGCTCCCCTATCGCGATCAAGTTGATGTGGTGGCTGGGTTCTGTGAGATGGATGGCACAAACCCAGACAACACGAGAAGAGACAACCCGGTCGAGGGCAGTGTGGTGCTACTTGGCGAGAGCGGTAAAGCAGAGAAAGCTCACTCAAAATATGGACAATATCGGTGTTACCGAGGACCTATGACTTCTCAACAGCTTAAGTCAGAATTGAGTAGGAAGGTAGTGAAATCCCACTCCCATGCTGTTCTTTTTGCTAACTCACAAATCACAGCGATTCTGCAACAGTTCAGAGCGAAATAATCGCAGAGATTTTGACGTAGAGAGAAGGCTGATGTAAGAAAATTGATATCCTTTGGGAGCTATAATCGCACTAACATGGCTAGATTCATCACTCATTTAGATGCATCAACCGTCGAGACACTTGCTGCAACGGCATCGAGAAGTCAAGCTTTTGCTTTCAAGAATCTCTTTTACAAGCACTTGGCCGGCCGAGCGTCCATTGGCGTAGCAATTCACGTAAGTCATAAGTTGCTTTCAGAGCGCCTCATTTCGCTAATACTACACTTTGTATTGTAGTTAAGGGGACTCATGACCTACAATCTAGAGCTTCATATTCCGTTTTATGTCTTAAAAGGAGGTTTTCGACCGGTTCAAGACCCGCGGAAGGGACATGACGGCTGGTAAATTCCGTTCGAATGAACTACCTTCAACACCTAGGGAGTATTTCTTCAAAGTGTTTGAGATTCAACTTATTCAAGTTCTGCGAGAATGAGAGGCTATAATTGAACAGGTGGAGGAAGACGTTGAAACGTGCGTTCGAAACTTATTTCTTTTCAATAATCTTGTGGGCTTGAAGTTTGAACATGCCATCTCGTGCACGGCGAAATTTTCTACATGACATGAATTGTCAGCGTACTAGCAAGGTTCTCTTTTCTTATATCTATTGGCAAGACCAAACATCCTTCCATAAGGACCAAATTAACCGATTTTAGATCTTCGAAGAATCAACCCTTGAGCTTGAAAGAGGGGGAGACGCAAACGAGGAATTCTATCCACGAATTTGGGGAATGGAATAGAGAAATGGTGAAACTGTTAAGAAAACTGATGAGTAAACTCGGGGATACTGCCGAAGCGTGGGAAAGATTCCGGCGCAAGGATATTGGCTACTTTATCCCCGACGATGATGGCGTGCCTTCAACATCCTCGTTCCTCAAATGCTCGGTTAATGTTGTCGATAATATCTTTCTGGATCTAAAGGATATTTTGAGGAAATTTAGACATCTGGAGCAGGAACTCTGCAAGGACAATTCTCTTATGGGAGTAAGCTATTCTCTATACTGAACTTCAACGAGCAAAATATCTGCGCGTTGAGTTACAGATGGCTCATGATACTGACCAAAGCAGCTCAATGCCCATTTTGGCCATGGAAACCATGAGGCTCAATTATGCCAGCAAAAGAGCGCCCGTCACATCCAAGTTCTCACTGTTATCACCATTGTAAGTAGTCTCTAGAACGTCTGATCAGAGATTTAATCTACTAACGGAACACCAAATTTTTAGATGTACCTACCACTAGCCCTCGCAGCAAACATGTTCAGCACCGCTCCGGGAGTTCTTCCATTTACGCCAAATTTTGGACGCTTTATACTTTCATCCGTTGCCCTTTCCTTACTAGTGTTAGCTTCAATCGCTACCTTGTTTAGATGGCGTAGCTGGGCCGAAAAGTTATTGCACATCTTGCCAATTGGTCAATTTGGTCGCAGCTCTCGCAAGCACTGGGACGTGGAACATGGGCAATACGGAGATACGCCGAACTTTGGAGTAATGCCGTGTCCATTGCTTGAGGGCCCAAACCGCTCAGCATACTCGCCCCTTCCCATGAATCATGATTCTCAGCGAGATCATAGAGGCGAATACCACGGCTATATAGTGTGGGTAAGAGACTTCCTAAGTCGAGCCCTCAAACGAAATAAGACAACGCTATCAAAAACGAAACTTTCTGGAAAGTTCACACCTTTAATTCCAAGGTCATCGATCAGGTATTTTTTCACCTTCAGCAACGTATTGAACATATTTCCTCGTCCAGGACCAGACCGTGGAAAAGAGCGAATCCATTGGACATGTGTAAAACTTCCCAACTTACCCCATTTCAAGTTTCGACTACTAATGGTTTTTTGCTAGAGGTGCGGCCACGAATTGTACACAGATCTTTCCAATCGGTCACAAGATGAAATTGCTCGGCTCGCTTCGATCTTGCAGCATACTGGGTATTCGACAACGAAACCTCACGAAGCGCATTGTTTGAGTACTTTACCAACAAATGACTCACGCTTGCAACCCAGTATCTCTAGCAGAGCTACATTCTCTTCCCCAGCCCAAAGCACTGCGGCGTTGAGCACTTCAACTTCTGTCGCTTCAGATTCGAGTGCAAACGTACCCAGCACTGATCTACCACAGAATCAAAGTTATCTCGAACTTTGCATCAATACATCACAACGCACAAAGATAATTTGTGAGATAGGCTTGAAAGATATCAAAACTGATGTGGAGCTCTGGGCAAGAATTCGGCGCGAATACTTCCGCCTCCGCAAGCCCCGCTCACTTCTTTGGTTTCTCAAACCATCGGGAATCAAATTTGTGAAGGTGTGTAAAGTCAGAAGCAATCTAGAATGGGGTCCAAAGCAATGCGAATGGAAACAAAGACTCACATATGCTGCAGTTCGCGATACGAGATTCTCTTGAGGTCTCCGTTCTCCAGTCCGGGTCTGTCCCTCCGCCCGAGGAAGTCACCGCCGGACGTTACGATTATTCGCCATACCCCCTCAAAGATGACCGCCCGATGGATTCGGACACGGTCTTGCATTACTTGTATTGCGACCCTCCGCTCTCCACCGCCTGGCTTCCTCGTCTTCCCAAAAAGTCTGAGGAATCTATTTTCCGATTCTCGGGGCCGATGAACGAAGGATGGGGAATATATATCACTGAAGGACTAAATTGGTTCACGATTTCGATATTGCATCTCTTTATTATAGTCATAAGTGGTGTTGCAGCGGGACTTTGGAAGCTATATAAGAATGATTTTCAGGGAGGATTTGGGTTCGCTGCGTGGATCCTTGGGGTGGGTGTTGCAATTATGGGCGTGTATTTTGCGAAAATGAAGAGGACATAGAATTTGAATAAAACCTTTAACTACCCCTCACTATATTAGTCGCCCTTTTGCAGGGCATGATTTCCCTGCACTTTAAAGTGGCAGGCAGCAACCCGCTTCCTTTATTCTCAATTTAAGCGAGAATAAGTAATCTTTCAGCTATAGCATAATATAATCCAGTTATACAGATTTATTACTAAAATATATAACGAGATTATTAGAAATTCTTTTCGAGTATATAGCTTTATAAATTTACTAGCTATTTTAAAGCTTTTAATTTCTATTTTTTTTAAAGCTAGTTTTTAAAATTATTTAATTTAAGTTTTTATAAGACTTTATTTATTTTAGTTTTTTATTTTATTAAAACTTTATATAGCTTATATTTTAAGGGATTTTATATTAGAGCTTTATATTTAATAGCTTATATATTATTATTATTATTAATTATTTTTTAAATAAATATTATCTTTTTTATTAAATTATTATTAGTAATAAAAAATTAAATAATATTAGTAAAGATATATATAAAGTTAATATTCTTTTATTTTTATTTATTATAAAAATAGATTTATTAATTAAAATAATTAAAAATTTAAAAGAAAAATACTAAAACTTTTTTTTATATTAAATTAATTAATAATATTTTCTAATTTTCTATTATTTCTTTAGTTTTATTTTAATAATAAATAATAAAAATCAAATCTTATTTAAAAAATCTTTTATTAAACTTTATAATTTCTTTATTTTTATTAATATTCTTAAAATATATATTATATATTATTATAAATATAATTAATATAATATATTTCTAAAAAATTACTTCTTTATTTTTAATTACTATATTATTTATTATTAATATCTAATAAAATAAATATAAATTATATAATATTTAGAATAATTCTAATTTATAAAAATTTTTATTAAATTTTAATAAAAAACTTTTTTATAATTTCAAATATTATAGCTATTATATCTAATAGTTCTAATAGCCTTATAAAGTCTTTTCTGGCTAGCCTAAAATATTTTGTTTTATTTAATACTACCCCTTATACGAGGCTCCTTTTTCGGTAAAAGGTAAGAATGCCCATATACTAATTAGTATATATACTACTAACTAATACACTTTCCGGTAAAAGGGATTTCGGTAAAGGGGTACCTCCCCTACTACCTTTTAATAAGTATTCCCTTGTCTCGAAGCGTATTCTCGTTATGTTATTATATAATCTAGCTTATAGAGTTATTATCTATTATACCTATAAGTTCTATATTATCCTAGAGGCATATAGTCAAGAATAGTACCTGCGAGTATAGCTATACTAACTCTTGGGAGACAAGCTCAAGGCAACTATAAAGCTTCTTAGTAGCTATAACTTGAGGAGTATAGCCGAGCTAAGAGAGTATAAGCCCTGGCCTAAAAACAAGTACTAGATAACTAAGCACCTAGTTAGCTATAATAGCATTTACTATCTATAGCCATAGTATAGCTATAGTACCTGCCTATAGGGCCGGATCTTATATATTAAAACAAGGAATTACTTTATAAAACTCTATTACCTAGTATAGGCTAAACAAGAACTAACTGCAATTAAATAGTAGTTACTAAAAGGCCTAATAGTATAATAGTAGTATATAGAGTTAGCAAACTCTATAGCCTAGATTTGATTCCTAGTTAGGCTCCTGATTTGCTTCTTGATAAATGCTCCTATAGTATTTAGTAATAAGTAGATCTATTTTTTTTGGTCTTGTTTTTTGAGTAAGAGATACTATATAGGGACACTAGTCCAGCTTCAAGAAGTATATAAAGCCCTCCTCGCCTGCCCTTTACCTCTCCTTCTCTTCTTCCCTTCTCTTCTCCTATTCTCTTCTCCTCTGGCCGCTTCTCCTTCTCTTCTCCTTACTTTCTCCTAATTAAATAAGCAAGAAGTAGAGATAGTACAAGAACCAGAATAGTAAAAGAATTAGTAGCCAGTTATACTCTAGGGTTTTACTCCCTAAGCTTTCCTATACAGGTCATTTCATCGGGTACTCACCCCGGAGGGAAACCACTCACGTTACCTGCCGGGGCTTTAAATCTATAATTAGCTCACTAGTATAGTATACTCGAGACTATTTATAGACCGACTGCGCTGCTCTCTTCTTCCGGAAGGCCATTAATACCCGAAATAGTAATAAGGAGGCCGGAGCTTCCGTTATATTATAGCTAAGGGATTGCCATAATAGTAAGGATATATATAGTTAGTTCTAACTATACTATAAAGGCTTGGTATTAGGCTTTTAGTAAATCAAAAAAGCTTATTTTAATATATATAACCTAGAGCCAAAGTGAATGCAGTTACGTACTCGCTTAAGTCACGTGACTGCATTTACTCGAGGCGTCCCAGTAAAATCCACTAGCTAATTTAATTATAAATGCTATAAGCTAGTAGGATATATAGCCTGGCTTAAATTAACCTAGCTTCTTTAAAGAAAGAAGTTATATAATTATATATTACTTGGGCCCTCTCGTACTTAGAAGTAAGAAATTAGTTTCTAGATTCTATTATATAATATAAGCTAAGTAAGTATATTATATACTTTTTTATAATATCTTAAATTTAATTCTTTATAGAACTCTTATCTTTTTTATTCTTTTTACTTTTCTTTATTATTTAAATTTTTAAAGTAATTTATAAAACTTAATATATTTATTTTTCTAATAATCTAATCTAGTTAAATATTAAAAGAAAATATAAAATTAGAGTTTAGATTCTAAGTTTATTAGAAATAAATAAAAGAAATTAACCTAGTATTATTATAAATATAAATTATATTAATATAATAAATTATTATAAATAATTTATATAATAATAATAAAAAGAAAAGAAAACTTAAAAATATAAAAGAAATTCTAAAATTAAAATATATTTTATTTATAATATTTAAATTATAAATAAAAGAAAAAATAAGAAAAAGAAAAGAAGAAATAGAAAAGAAAAAGAAATAAAAGAAATTTTTTATATATTAAAGGAAAAAATATAAGAATTAAAATTAAAGAAATTTAGTACTATATATAAAAAGAAAATATTTAAATTATAAATTAAATTCTAAGTATATTTTTAAAATTTAAAATATTAAAAAAATAAGAAAAAAAGAGAAATAAAATATAAAAAGAATTATAAAAAGAAGTAAGAAGAAAAATAGAAAAGAAATTAAAGAAATATAATAAAAGAAAAAGTAATAATAATTAAAATAAAGAAAAAGAGGAAAAAAGAGAAAATTAAAAATTAATAAGAGAAAATAAATAAAAGAAGAAAATAAATAAAAAAAGAAAATAAATTAAAAAAGAAAATAGATAAAAGAAAAGAATAAATTAAATAGTATTATAGTTATATTTTTTTCGTAATAGAAGTTAGCTTTATATATTTGGATTAAGAAGTTCTAGATAGGAATTCAAATAAGTTAAATAATATTATAAGATAATAGTAAGAAGTATTATATAATTATAAATATAAGAATATTATTTGAGTTAAATATAAAGCTTTAAATATAATAGAAAGTATTTTATTTATATAGACTTTTTATATTATATAAATTCTATATATTTTTATAAATTATATAGAAATATTTAGAATTTATTAAAATTTCTTATATAATCTAATACCTGTAATTTCTATTTAAGAATCTATAATATAGTAAGTACTATATTAAATCTATAGTAAATAGTAAGGAAAAAAGAAGAAAAAAACGAATTTATAAAAGAAGTAAAATTAATAAAAGAAAAAGAATTAAATAGAATTTCGTAAAATATAAGATTAATTAAAAGAAATAAGATATATAGAAAATATAAGCTAAATAATAATAATAATTTAAAGAAAAGTAAGTTAGATATAATAAATATATTAAAAGAAAGAGAAGTTAGAACTAAAAGTAAAAGTAATAAGTAAAAAAGAATATAAGAAGTAAATAAGAAATAATTAAGAGAAAAGATAATTAATAGAGAGAATAAATAAAAGAAGAGTTTTATAAGCTAAAGAAAGTTATAATAAGGGAAAGAATATAAGAAAAAAGTTAGAATTAAAAAGAAAAAGATAAGGGAAAAGAAAAATAGTATAAAAAAAGTAATTAGAAAAAAAGAATAATAGCGGGAAAGGAAATCAAATACCTGAAAAGCGGGCATATAAGCAAGGCGGTTTTGAAAAACACATATTAGCGAGAAGCTTTCTTACTAAAATCATATAGTTAATAACTCGATATTAAATAACGGACAAATAGCTATAAGTTAGGTACTAAAATAATCACATATTACCAGGTTTTTAAAAGGTTATAGCTATATATTACGTATTAG